ATTAACATGCTGTCCCTGAAACATGAGAAGCTGGGAAAGCAAGACCTGGGGGTGTTTCAGTGACGCATGCTTTCTACCTGCATCCTGTTAAAACCTCAGCTCCTCCGAGAAGCTTTCCCTGATCTCATCAAACTTATCCCAGCCCCAATCACCTGTCTGTGTATAAACCTCTCCCAATCACCTGTCTGTGTATAAACCTCCCCCAATCACCTGTCTGTGTATAAACCTCCCCCGATCACCTGCCTGTGTATAAACCTCCCCCGATCACCTGTCTGTGTATAAACCTCCTCCGATCACCTGTGTATAACCTTGCACCCGCTGGGGACCCGGTACCGTGGGTCCACGTTGTGGATTAGCCCATGTCAGTGTTCAGTCTGCCCTTGGCCAGCCACTCTGTGCAGCCTGGGCCATCTGCCTCTGTGACCAGGCTCCGAGCACCCGACAAGGGCTGTCACACTTTACTATTATTTCAAACAAAATTTAATTAGGACTGAATACATTTCACAGTATGGATCCAAAGCTTTTGATAATACAGTCTTCTACATAGGAGATGTCTTTATCCTCTTAGTTTCTGTTCATTCTTTCCACAAACGTTTATTGGGCTCCGATTATGGGCCAGGCACCATGATTGTGGGGTTACAGAGCTGAACGAGACCTGGATATTTCCCTCAAGGAACTCACAGTCTAGTGGCAAATCCAGAGATAGCAGATCAAACTAGGGTATTATTTGATACAATGTTAGATGGATTCACAGTGCATTATCAGTGAAATACCAAAGCGGTATATCTAACAGAGCTAGGTAAGATCAGAGAAGGCAGCCTGGAGGAAGTAATCATTCAGTGAAGCCTTAAAGGAAAGGTTAAGGTTAGCCCAGTGTGTGTCTGGGGGTTTGGGGTAGGCTCCAGGCAGAGGTGCTCACAGGAATAAAGGTACAGAAAAAAAAAATAGGGGCAACAATGCTGTGTGCCGGGAACTGTGAAGAGTTACTAGAGATGTGTCGCAGTTAGAGTTTGCATTTGGGGAAGATCACTCAGGCAAACTTAGTGGACGGTAGAGTTGAGCTATACAGCTGCAAGCAGGAAATCATTTCTGAGGCTGCTGAACAGTCCAACCAAGAGACAGTGGGAGCCTGAATGTGAATGAGGGGAGTGGTAGCAGGGATAGAGAGAAGGGTGAGAAATTGAAAAGAATGTAGGAGGCAAAATCAGCAGGACTTGGTACCAGCCAGTGCAGGAGGGAAAAGCAGAAGACCAAATGCAGGGCAATGAGGAGACAATGTGCCTTAGGGCAGGCAAAGGCATTGAGAAGGTTGCAAGAGAGCAATGTCTTTATAAAAATCCAAGAAGGGGGTGTGGTTGGCAATGCCAAGTGCTACAAGAGGTCCCTTAAGATCAGGACTAGAAAATTTCCAATAGGTTAGAAACATAATGTTCATTGGTGACCTTGGTGTGGGTGGTTTTAGTGGTGCAAGACAGAATTGCATGCCGTGATGAGTGAATAGGAGAAACAAAAGTCAGTTCAGATAGAACCACTTTCTTCTTCAGCTACCTTGGGCCTAAAAGCTTTTCCAGCATCCAAAATTATGTTTGAGGCCTGAGAAAATTTATTAGCATTAAGATGCAAAAAAGAACCTGCAAAATTAAATTAAGACATGTTTAATTAAATATCTCCAAAATGTAACATTGTTTCGACTTCATTAATTTTTAAATTTAATATTCATAAAAGCTTCATTACATTTAGAAACAATTTTTTTGGTTAAATTTTTCTCATTTTGCAAACATTCCCTGGTATGCACAATGATTGCTGAGAAATCACAGCCAATTATGAATTAACTGTTGCTTGCTACTCAGTCATATCACAAGCAAAATTTAAAAAATGCATTTAACATAAGATGTGGGTGCATTTTCTTCTACTTGCTTTTATGTGAGATAGGGCCTCCAAATGTACGCTTTTTAAGGGCTTTAAAATGTCTTTAAATAGGGGAGCCTGGGTGGCTCAGTTGGTTAAGCGACTGCCTTCGGCTCAGGTCATGATCCTGGAGTCCCGGGATCGAGTCCCGCATCAGGCTCCTTGCTCGGCGGGGAGTCTGCCTCTCCCTCTGACCTTCTTCCCTCTCGTGCTCTCTCTACCATTCTCTCTCTCTCTCTCAATAAATAAATAAAAAAAAAAATCTTTAAAAAAAATGTCTTTAAATAGTTCTGATATAGACAACTGTTTCAAAAAGCTTGGACAGGGAAGGAAGGAGAGAGAAGGGGTGTTCACTAGACAGAGTTGGAAGGGGAAGGAGGGTTTCTTATTTTCTCTCTGAGAAGGGAGGCATGTGAGTATGTGTATATGCTGAGAGGGAGTCAGGAGGAAGAGGAGAGTCAGGAGGGTCGGGGTGGTGCTGAGACAGGCAGGGGAAGCAGCTAGAGCCCAAATGGCAGAATTGGCCCCACTGAGGGGGTGTTCCCCTCTGTAGAAACAGGAGGAGAGGTTGAGGCCTTTCAGGGGGATCCTAGTCTTTTTTTTCTGTATCAGGCGGAACTATCCCAAGGTGATCAGAAGGTCTTATAGTACCTTCACAGTCACTTGGGGAGTCCGTTTACCTGAACAGGTAGGCATCCTTCGTATCACGGTGGTCACTTCCCCTTCACTGAGGCCTTCCATCCAGCCTGCTCCGCAGCTGGAGTATCTAGTTCATCCATGATGCTCAGATGCACATCACAATACCCATGCACCTGCTGCTGGAGCGGGTCCCAGAATACCCCAGCCTCTGTGCGCTCTTCTTTCTCAAGTGTCCTTTGTGTCTGCCCCATTCACGTGGTTCCCGATGTTTCCCATGGTCAAAATCTTTCTGCCCAAATGATCCCAGGTTAGAGGGGCAGGTGTTCAAATGAATCCCAAGCACCTTCCCCCCCGGAAAGTAGAAATTCTACTCCAAACCCTGTATGCCTTCCCTTAGAATTGAGTTTTTAAATATCTCCTTGTTTGGGGTTATTCAATAGAGAGGATCCAAATCTGCACAGGTTCTCAAAAGTCAACCATGGGGACCTGCAGAGCACAGTACAGAGCCCCTTTGCTGCATTCACGATGGGGGCCTTGGTAGCAGATGACTGGTGTAGGCCACCCCTGCACCAGGCGGGGGTGTTGTCAAAACAAAACAAAAAAGCAACAGACATCACTCGAGGCTTTGTGAGAGGAAACCCGAGGCATCTTGAAATGGCTACTACGTAGGGCTATTTTTCCAGCTCTCCAAGATGCAGAAAGTAGGGTCGGATTTCTGCTCCTGAGCTAAGCTCATCTTGTAGTGATGTGTGAGGCTGGCTTTCCCTAATGCTGACATAGCTCTGTGTCCTACTACTGATTACACAGACCCTCAAACGTGTGAGCATTCTGGAATAGCACAGGGCGTAAGCTACCCTCCTGGCATTTTCCTGGATAAAAGATGCTTTTTGATTTACGGTTGTAGTCCCTCTTGAATCAGGGTCTCAGGGGCTTATGACACTCCCCTAAAGTTTGGGTTTCTCTGATACCAAATAAAGCATCCAGTGACATAGGTAAATTCAATGTTTGACACTGTGGAAATGAAACAACCATAAAACCCTACAAATATTTACTGAGTATATGCTGTCTGCCAGGTATCATGCTCAGTGGTGAGGATACAACTGGAAACTGTGCCTGACGTCAAGAATTTCATGATGTACATTGCCTCTAAAAATCCTAATCTGCAAATGAATTTTAGGTCTGGCTGAGAAAGAATCACTTGTGAAATGTATTTTCAAATGCAGACTCCTAGGCCCCACCTCCAGAGATGGGGATTCAAGAGGTGTGGTATAAGGACAAGGAATCTGTATTTTGAACAAGCTTCCCACATAGTTCTGATGGCAACCACTGGTCTGGAGGGATAAAAAAAAGTTCTGTCTCAATAAGTAATTGAGTAACCTGTTGACACAGATACATAAATGGATTTTTTTGTATCCATAGCTTGGTTGAAACAACTGCCTTATATCCAGCAAATCCAGCATTATGAAGATTGACTAAATTTTTTATGAAACATCTAGAATTTATAGGTATTTTGGTATTATCATATCTCTGGAGGCTAAGTCAAATTTTCACTGACCCTTTTCTTAAAAAAAAATTATTTATTTATTTGAGAGAGAGAGAAAGAGAGTAAGCAGGGGAGGGTCAGAGGACAGGAGGAAAGAATCCCCAGCAGACTCTGTGCTGAGCGCAGAACCTGACGCAGGGCTCGATCTCACGACCTGAGCTGAAACCAGGAGTCGGACGCTTAACCGACTGTGCCACCCAGGTACCCCTGACCTTTTTCTTTTTTTTTTTTTTTTAAGATTTTATTTATTTATTCATGAGAGACAGAGAGAGAGAGAGAGAGGCAGAGGGAGAAGCAGGCTCCCAAGGAGCAGGGAGCCCAACGCGGGACTCGATCCCAGGACCCTGGGATCATGACCTGAGCCAAAGGCAGACGCTTAACGACTGAGCCACCCAGGCGCCCTTACTTTCTTTTTTTAAGATTTTATTTATTTATTTGACAGAAAGAGAGAGAGAGAGACAGCAAGAGAGGGAACACAAGCAGGGGGAGTGGGAGAGGGAGAAGCAGGCTTCCCGGCTGAGCAGGGAGCCCGATGCGGGGCTCGATCCCAGGACCCTGGGATCATGACCTGAGCCGAAGGCAGACGCTTAACCATCTGAGCCACCCAGGCGCTCCCTGACCTTTTTCTTAAAATGACTCTCACCTCCCACCCCCAGAGGGCCTTTTGGAGGCTTCTCACTGGTCTCCTCCTTTTGCAACTGGCTCCTACTTCCCCTTTTCTACTCCAGCTATGCCACACTTTTTTTTTTTTTTTCAAAAGAATAATTATATTGCCTGCAAGGAAGATGTGTGTAAAGCATCTACAAGACTCAAGTTCTGGTTGGTTAAATGACTTTCAGCATTTTGGTAGAATGATTATGTCTTGTAGCCCTCTTAACGTTACTTTGTGTTTGTTCTCACTTTCTTACAGGACTGGGAATGGAGAATATTGGTGGAATCTTTGTGGTTCTTATTTGTGGCTTAATCGTGGCCATTTTTATGGCTATGTTGGAGTTTTTATGGACTCTCCGACACTCGGAAGCTACTGAGGTAAACTTTCAAATGGGTACAACCTGTAGTGTTGGCAGATGGGCTCACGCACCTACAAGTCATTTCAGACAAAACCTGTGAGATCCCATAAGAGGGTGGGGCACCCACGGGACAGTGTGGCGGAAAGAATCCCAGTCCCACGGGCAAGAGAGCTGGGTTAACGCTTCATCACTTACTACTTATGCAGCCACAGAAAGTGTGCTTAGCCCCTGAGCTTCGGATTCTTTTGCAAAACAGCCCAGCCGATAAATACATGATGAGTGTTTTACACACCACGAATTCTTATACAACTATAATTTAAGATGTAGTGTGGCAAAGAAAAACAGGCCAAAGTACCAGGCTTCCAGTGAAAGCGAAGACTGGTTCTTCCGTCTTCAGTATGTTTTCGCCTTACCGGTAAAGATGTTTAGAGATATCCCAGTTCACATAAGGCCAAGAAGTACATCGTCCTTCTCAGGGATTTTGAATCCATTTAATTCCCGAACCTGTGGCTTAGAAACTGGGTTAATATAAATTTCGCACAGACTGAGAAGTCTGAATAGAAGGAAGAAGTCTTTATCCCATTCTGTCTCCATTCTACCTCAGAGAAGGGGCACCAATCCTTACATGCTGATGGCATTATTCAGTTTTTAAAGTACGTTAGCATCTTTCTCAGTCTCTCAGCTCTCAGTCGTCATAAGTCTCCTCCCTTAATTGATGCTGGAGAAACAGGGGTGTACACGCGCCTCTCCATCTGTCGAGTCCAGCCTCAGGTGGGGCCTCAATACAGCACTGCCTTCTGGTCCTTTTACTTTTCTGTGCTCAGACTCTTTCCCATACCCACTAGGACTTCCAAACCATCACCCATTCCTCATATTCCTTTGCCCCTTCATGCATAAAGGTTAATTTTACCTCCCACCCACCCCCACGAAATCAGGAGAGGCTAGCCCTAAATTAAACCCCCCCTGAAAACTTTACCTACAGCTAAAGCCACCCTTGCAACCGCAGCAGATGCTCCTGGGCATCACTCTGTCTCTGCCCTCATCCCACTTGCCTTGGCTACTCTAGGATTTTCCTTTTTTTCTCCTTTATGTTTGCTTCCTGCTCTCTCCCCAAAATCTAAAATTATGCTCAAGTTTATCCTCTATTTTAAAATAATAGTAGTATTGGGGTGCCTGGGTGGCTCAGTAGGTTAGGCATCTGAATCTTTATCTCAGCTCAGGTCTTGATCTCAGGGTTGTGAGTTCAAGCCCTGCATTGGGCTCCATGCAGGGCTTCAGCAAAAAACCATAAAATAATAGCAGTGTTCCTATTGCTCTTGTGCTATCCTTCTCCAAACCAAGGGGATCCGGCTGTCTCCATTTCCTACCTCCCATCCAGTGCTCAGTGCAGGGCAGTCTGGCTCCTGCCTACCCCTGCACTGAAAGGTCATTGCTGAGAGGTCTAACGCCTCCCAATGAACAAAACCAGAGAACCCAATGGGCCTTATTGAACCTCAGTGTGCCCTTCACGAAGTGGACAGTTCCTTCCAGAAGCTCTCTCCTCCCTTGCCTTGCCTGACACCAAGCTTTCTTGGTTCCCCTCCTACTTCTCCCTCCAGCTTTACTGGCTTTCTCCCTTTGTCCACTCCTAAAATAGTGGTGCTACTTACTTACTCTGTAAGACTCAGTTCAGGTTTTCCTTTCCCTATGAAACCTTCCCCAGTTCTCCTGCCTTCTTCCCTGGACAAGAGGAGTTGATCATTTCTCCTCTTTTCCAACACCATTGCATCCTGTGCATCAAGCACTTATACATTGTGTTGCAATTATTTTTGTATCAGCCTCCTTACTAAACATTGCACTGCCTAAAAGTCAGGACTGTGTCCACTATCTCTGTATTTCCATGCAAAGCACAGCGCTTGATACATAGTTGACAGCCAATAAATGTATGTCTTGTCACATGTAATAGATTAGGCGGGTGCTCTTGTTTTAGCTGTTACAGTTATTACTGCAAGCACAGAGATGTTAAGGGACTTGCCCAGAGTCTCTGATATTTAGTAACAGGTCTCAATTTAGTAACAGTCTAAATGGGCCATATCCCATTAGGTGATACGACTCCTCTGCAGCCACTTCAAGTAGAGGATCTGTGCACATTTGGTTATTCTCAAGAGCTTAAGCACCGTCTAGATGTACCTTGAAAACTTCAGTGAGGACTTCCAAGAGCTAAAATGAAGAGTAAAGTCTCCATTAGCTATTTGGCTCTAGTAGAACAACTGTTCCATTGATAGAACTCGAAGACTGGAAGAAAGACCATGAAAGAGCAGGTTTCAAACCTAAAAGCTGGGAAGGTTCCAAATTTTTTATAAATTTGATGCAAAGTACACTTGGTGACAAAACTTGCACAGGTCCAAGGCTAACGTTAATGTTTATGGTCTTTATCCCACTCAGTGTAAAGGTCCATACGTTTTGCTACGGAAATGCTGATGTGGTCTTTTCCAGTTTTATTGATAAATAATTGACATATGTTACTGTGTAAGTTTAAGGCATACAAGATAATGGTCTGATTTACCGATATTGTGACATGACCACCGCAGTAGGTTCAGCTAGCATCTGTCATCTCCTATAGATACAAGAAAAAGAAAAAGAAAAGAAGGGAAAAAGGAAAACCAATTTTCTCCTTGTGATGCGAACTCTCAGGACTTACTCTCTCAACAGCTTTTAATGTGCTTGAATATAGGGTCTGCCCTAGACCCCACTGGGTGTGATACACAGTATACTGCATGTGTGTTGTATTACCTCTCTAAAATCGAAAATATTCTGAAACATACCTGGACCCAAGGGTTTGTTTTCAGGAGACTGTGGACCAGTAGGTGTGGTGGTTGCCGTAGCTTTTGTTGTTATATTATTATCTCTGGCTATAACCAGTTGACCCAAAGAGTGAGAGACTCTAGCCTGAGAACAGAATGTTCATGGAGACATGGCTTTTTCAAGTACTTGAAAGACTGACCTGCAGAAGAGGGCCTATTTATTTAGTAGGCTTCACGTTACAAATTTAACTGGGATGGATGAAAAATTTCAGGGAGACGAATTGTGAAGTCTGTAGAAGGAAGCACCATTGCATGGGTTCTCTCCCAGCATGGTGAGGACATTGACTTTGGAGGTGTCCAGACAAAGACTGGACAACCAGATGGCAGGGCTGTTGAACACTATGGTATGGAGGGCCTTCAAATGCTAAGTGGGATGTGGAATGAGGGAATGGATTGAAAGGGCCTCCCAATATCTCCATACCTACGATTATATGATTCTGAGACCCTTCCCCCCCAGCCCCCACTGGAACAGATACGCAAGGGACGTGCCAGGGACCGGCAGGGGCTGGTTCTGAGAGGTTGGGCTGTGACCTCCTCCTTCCCCCCAGGTGTCCGTCTGCCAGGAGATGGTGACCGAGCTGCGCAGCATCATCCTGTGTCAGGACAGTGTGCACCACCGCCGGCGGCGCGCCGGGGTGCCTCCGCCCCGGCCCCCCATTCCCGAGGAGCGCCGGCCGCGGGGCACGGCGACGCTCAGCAACGGCAAACTGTGCGGGGCCGGGGAGCCCGACCAGCTGGCGCAGAGACTGGCCCAGGAGGCCGCCCTGGTGGCCCGCGGCTGCACACACATCCGCGTCTGCCCGGAGTGCCGCAGGTTCCAGGGCCTGCGGGCGCGGCCGTCCCCCGCCCGCAGCGAGGAGAGCCTGGAGTGGGAGAAGACCACCAACAGCAGCGAGCCCGAGTAGCCCCGGGGGCGCCGGACCGGTGCAGGCCGGGTGGGGAGGCGGGAGGGCCGGGTGGGGAGGCGGGAGGGCCGGCCGGGGGTGCGGTGGGGGCGCTGCGCTCCGCGGGGAGCCGAGACTTGTGCAGCTTCTCGCTGGAGCCTGGATCCCGGAACTTGACCGAAAGAGCGCAGAGCCTGCCGCCCCAGCCAGAGCCAGTGCCCAGGGCCAGGAGCTGGGGCCACCCAGAGACGTTGCACCCCAGCGGCGAGGGGACGCCCTCCCTGCCAACCACAAGGACCCATCTTCTCCCAGTGGGCCTTTCCCTCCCGCCAGAATTACAGAGTCTGGGATGGGGGTCCCTGCCCAGGCCTGTCCAATGAATTAATTGGTGGAATCAGTGGAATTTCCCCTAGGAAGGGGCCGTTGTACCCTGGGTCTAGTTCTTACAGGAAAACAAATTAAACTCAACAGGGAAGTTTTTCTTTTCTGGATTTGTATATTTTTTGTTAATGTTCTTTTGTTTTCCCTTCTTCCCCCCTTTCCCCCGCCCCTCCCCCACTTTTCTTCTTTGTTGTCTTCTCAATTCCAGCCATTTGTTTGGGGGTGGTTTTTTGTTTTTGTTTTTGTTTTTGTTTTTTGGAGGGGGAGGCTGGGTTAGGCAATGGAAGTCTAAATAATCCGTTTCTTTTTCCTAAATTTTAGGACATGGAGCGGCCAGTGCGTCGGATTTCAGGTGCCAACCTCTCTTTTCTGAGTGGGAATTGGGGGCACCAGAGAGTGTAGGAGAAGGGTCTTGGGAAGAATAAGGTCTTGGAGAGTCTCAAAAGTCCATTAAAGTAATTTTTTAAATGCCAAAATCCAATCAACTCCTAGTTTACTCAGAAAGACCGTGAAATGCCTGGGATTTCAGGGGTTACTATGTCTTCTCTTTCTCTTTCCGACTTTCACTGTCACTGGGTTTGATTTGGTCTTTTGTGAATGTGATCTCTAAAGAAGAGAGATGGGGGAGGAGAGCAGAATGCAGGAGGTGTCCTAGGGCCTTGCTTAAGGAGCAGAGTGGGGTGAAACACTTTTCCTATACCCTGGCCTTGGCTTCAGATGGAATGTGCTAGTCACAGGGGAGGAGTGGGGTGGGGGCACCCTGTTGGTATTGTGCAGCCTTTGTGAATGGCATCTTTTTTTAACCAAACTCAGTAGCTGCCTATGAAGCCAGACCCCCAAAGCTATCATGGATTGGGTGATTTCTTTCTACTAGATGTGAGACCTGGGTGCAAGCATGTGTGTGTGTGTGTGTGTGCTCATGCGCACGTGTATGTGTGAGTGTGTGCTGTGTGTGCTTATTAAATGGAAAGACCTTAAGTAATCAAGAACTTGCCAGGTTCCTAGGAGACAGGTGGAGCCTCACAGCTGATACACAGGCCTGGGACCTGGGGACTCTTGAGCCCTAACCTCAGCTTGGGCAGAAGTCCCCTCACTTGAGTTTAAATAAAGCATTTAACTTCTCTTCCACTTCCGAAATCAGAGTTACTGATGCTTTCCAGGCTCTCAGATGGCTTCTAGTTACCGCTCTACTTGTGGGATGTCTGCAGGGTCCAGTGCACTCAGCTGATGGGAGGGGTGAGGCTTCCCAGCAGTTGCGTGACCTTTGTTTGGCTCTACCAGCTGGGAGTTTCACGCAGAGAGTTTTCATCTTCTGATGGAAAACAAATTCTATGCAATTTCTGATTGTAAACTTAGAAAATTCAGAGGGAGAGAGAAATAAACAGCCCCTACCACCACCACCACCACCACCACCACCACCACCACCTTGAATCGAATTGTCCTCACATTTCTGTTCTGAATGTACTAAAATAAAGACATCTTTGGAAGATGATGAACTTAATTCCATGTTTTGTTTTGTTTTGTTTACCATTTGGGTAGTTCAACATCTTCTGTATGCCAGGCCATTTAGTTAGAACTGCTATCCTGGGGGCCAATTGGGACCCCTATGATTCCCGTTAAGGATGTCAGTTTTGTCCTAGGCTGACCTTCTCTCTCATGAATTTGAATCTTTTTTTTTTCTTTTCCTCTTTAACCATCAAATGATGGCAAGCTCTGAGAGGACTCGAGTATTTTTTTCAACCTTGCCTCGAGTCTCGTGGATTGGGTGGGAAGGGCACCGAAGGCCGCCTGACCGCAGACCCTAATGGTGCCACGCTGTTCCAACCCACAGCTCTGTTCCTTGCTTCCAACAATGTGGTCTCTACTGTCAGATCACATTGGGGGCTGGAAGGGCTGTTTTTTTTTTAAAACTCGTTTTTATGAGCAGGATATCTTGATCAATAGCAAACTTTTTTTAATGGATTAGTGAAATAAATGTCCCCATGAATCATTTATAAAGTCTGTTTCTTTTGCCGCCTGGAGTGAAGATAAGACTGACAGCACTAGACAGTTTCTATTAGCTGCTGGGACTATCGCTGCACCTCACTCAAGCTGGTCAGTGAAACTGCAACCAGCTAGTCCCCTTCCTTGGTTTGTCTCCACTTTCCATCTGTTGGTTGTTGGCTTTCTTTTCCATTCTGTATTTTCTATCTGACTCTGTATACTGTATAAAGCAGTTTTTTCTTGTCTGTTTATCTTTCTTCGACTGGAATATTTACAATAAAACAGAAACAAACCCTGAAGTGTTAGTGATGGATGAAAGCTGTCTGGGTTTGGGAAGGATAGTTTTGTGTGTCCAATATCCAGGTACTCTAAAAGCAAATAAAAATATAAACCCACTTGGTGTCTTCCCCTCCACCTGCCCTTCTCTCTCTCTCTTTCTCTCTCTCTCTCTCTCCACCCTCTCCAACTCCCTCACCCCTTTCGACTCTTTGTTCAGATCCCAGAAAGGTCTAGGTGGTTTCTTTCAATTTGTAGTCCTGGGAGTCTGAGCCAACCCTCCCCCCACAAACGGATACACATGTTAATGAAGTTTGGGATTTGTAGGGTTTTGTCTTCCTAAATGCACTTTCACAGAATAGCCATCTATTAATACCCAGGGTAACTCTAGTCAGATATCACCCCAGATTCCACTGGGACCTTGAAGATTACATCAATTAAAATATAATACTTTGCTTTATTTCTTTTAATTGCCTTGCAGGGCCCCAACCGTCACAAGATCTCTACCCCAGAACCCAGGTGGGGTGTAAGTTGAGCATGTAGATGGCCGAAAATCTTTTGGCTTCCTCTAATCCAATGCTCATATGAGAATATTCATCCTGGGAACTTGCCAACCGGCCGCCTTATTGGTTAGGTGAGACTGACATATCATGATAACCAATCCACCTGGGGCCACTCTGTGAAAGTTTATTAGTTTTGGATTCCAAGGAGTTGAATTTTCTTCTGGAATCCAAGGGGGACTTCCCCATGGTGTAGGAGTCAAATACATGAGGCCAGCAAGGGCTGGGGCATTTCAGACACGGCAGATTGGTGGTTGGAATGGAGCTGGAGAGAACCATTTGTGGCTCTCCCACCAATGGGGTGTGCACAGCAAGGTAAAATAGTCTGGAAACGATAAGGGAGATTTAATTCCCTGACTGGTTGTTCACTCTCTTGGGGTAATAACAAAGAGGTCTGTTTGGAAAATTTAGAAAAGAATCCTTTCATAAAGATTTTGCTGAAAGCTGGTGCTTCCTATGGGGCCCTCTCAAGACAGAAGTTAAACCTTTAGTTACCTTAAGCTATGAGTTATTCCCTTGCTTTCTGTGAAAGATGACTTTCTCCCCATAGGCAAGTCCCCACCATTACCCAAAGGGTGCCCCAAGGGGGTGTCAGCCTGGTCATCCAACGGTGTGCCTTAAAGAGTGGTGATAACATGCCTTCAAAAAGCTCTTCTCATAGAGAAAAAATATATATTTTACTTTATTTTATTAAAATATGTGTCATATAAATATAAATATGAATATAAATATTTGTCTATGTATCTATATATAAGGAGAGATAGAGATCTATTTTACAACTTGGTGTGGCTTCCAGAGGAAAAAAGTGGCCAAGTTTTAGAACTGAAGGGGTCAACAAACCTGTTATAATTTAAGGACCACCAGGCAAGAGAAGTTCTGTCACTCTTGATAGAACATCATTGTTCAAATTTTATTAATGCCACACCCCTAAATCTGAAGAATGAATGAAAAAATACTAATATTACCATTACACAGTTAGCACCAGTGTTGAGAAAGAAAGAAGTCTACAAAGGCAATAAAATGGAAAACAACCTCTCTGGTCAAAAATGGCAGAAGACTTGAGGCTCTAAGAAGGAAGGAGCATAAAGAAACTGAGCCTATGATCTGTCCAGATATTAACTAAGGGCAATGCATATAATATATATATATATATATATATATATCCCTGGCTGGGTTGCATGGAAGCATGTCAGGGAATTGGTGCCTTATGACTGAGGTTGTGTCTGGGGATTTAACCGTAGTAACAGGTAAGACTGTGTGGAGTCCATATTATGGAGAATGGAGATCAAACACGTGAGTGCAATGATCCTCCTGCTAGAAAATTAGCTGAAAGATCGTGCCCACTTTCATATTCCTTGAGCCTAACCTAATGTCCTCTCTTGACTATGCCAGAGAAGTCAGAGGGACTAAAGGACCTCTAATCCTGTTGGCACATTTTTTAGGTTGGTGAGTGACCCTGAGAGGGTATTTCTTTAACACACAGCACCACGTTAGATTCTGTGGGATGTAATGAAGAAGTGGAAGAGATTATCCGTACTCTGCCTGGGCAGACAGAGCTCACCTATGAAGAACAGTGGAAGCAAGGCATGAAACACCCAAGTGCTGGGGTGTGTCATATAAACCACGTAGAAATTCAGAGGGGCTAAGGACTCTGTCTAGGTGGTTGAGACAGGCTTAGTGGAGGAAGCAGGACTGTGACTTGGGGTTGTTAAAAACAGTTTTCATGGCTAGAAAAACAAGGCTTTGCTTCATCTCCCTTGGAGTGCACTATGGTTAATTCACATTGAATTGAGCGCTCCTGTGATAAGAGATAGCTTGTTGTTCCTATTGTTTTTGCCTTCATCCACATGTTCCTTTTTGTGGGACTCCAGCTCTCCTATTATGCCCCTTCCTGTTGGCTGCCAACACTGGAGATTTGTACCTCTATCTCATTCCTGGGCTTCTTTAAATTATATTAGTGGAATTAGCTGCAGAGTCAGACAGCCTAGCCCCATAGAATACAGAAAGA